TTTTGTCCATTATGGTAATTCCAAATTTCTCGAAGAAGTCGGGTGATGCTCCGATGATAGACATCATTATATGGTAAGACACCATTTCACAACTTGACTTGGACTCCTTAAGTTTTAAGTCAAATTGTTTCACTCGCAACTTTAAATTGTGTTCGGAGTAAAGTTCAAGCAACAACAACCCAGTGTTATTACCTAGCACTATATTGTCTTCGTACCCTCGCATATTCGTCGCGACATAAAACTTGACAGAGTCATCACAACACCTTTCTTTTGTTATGGATTGTATTGTGTCTGATAAACAAGAAAAAAGTAGACTGTTGAGCCTTCCATTGCACTTCGTCGCAATACTTTTGATGTCAGAAATGGTTCCCAATTGTCCCCAATAACACTTCTGTCGGCCAACAACAATTTTCCTCAAACGTTGTGTGCAATCTCTGGCACACACAATAGCTCGAATGAAATGATATGAAACTGCAAACAACATTTTTAGACTTCGCGAAAAGGAAAATTGGTGTTTGTTACCATTTGAAGTTGGTCTTGTCTGAAGTGGTGGTGTCACAAGACTCTTTTGCTCACAATTTGTGTAGTTGGTGATATCAGATAACAACCTCACTGCAGACGCACCATCGACATGACAATGGGATATCTGCGCAACAAATTTCCACTTTCCAGCAACATTTGTGAAGATGTGAAATTTCCAAAGGGGTTTTGAAAAGTCCAAGTTTTGTGACTTCAAAGTGTTTAATATTGTCAAAAATTTGTGTTGAGAGAGCCGATCTTGCTCAATTATGATGTGGTCGTCCATATCTACTTTACAATCTTCTAATATGTAAAATGTGTTAAATGTCGAGACACGACGCATCAGACGAGGGTGCCGACTCATCGCTTCAAATAAAGTACTTTTGATTGAAGCAGAATCAAGAGTCCCAGAACCACTGACTACTGATGTGATCACCATCGGACTTTTTGCCCAACCCATTCGCAACCAACACACATCAATGAATGACAAAAACTCTCGAGTATGGCCAATATCTGGCGTCTTTAAATATAGCACATAAAGTTGTGTACCTAATGGAAATATTAGGGACTGTAGAATGTATAGAAAGTTACGACGGTAATACAAACAAATGCAATAGGTTGTCAATGTGTTGAATATTACATGGAATATGATCAGAAAAAGAATTGAACCCATTCGACAACACAAATTAAATTTGAAGATCTTTATTGTTTATCGCAAGAAAACAAGAAACAATTTGAACACAACAAAATGATTAGAGTCAGTCTTTTAACGTTATCTGGTCTCAAACGTTATCTGGTGGACAAAAAATAGCTTCATTTTTGTCTAAACATCGGGCATTAGGTAAAGCGTGAAAAAACCCGAAACAATTGGGATGGATTTTTGGGACTGCTCCCCGAATTATTCCATTTATTATGGTCCAAAAGGCACCAGATAACGTTTGA